AAGTAAATATGAACACATACACTGTTCGCACCCACTTCAGAACATTTATGAGCTATAATTTGCTTATAACATAGACACCTTGCTCATCATACCTATCCAGTCATATTTTAATTAATCAGATTCTCAATGTCTATTTTTGTTCAAGGTCATGCTGTAATACAGTGTTTTAGGGATTTAAAACTTAAAAAAATACATTTACACTATTGTTGTTAAGCAATTATATCAAGGCTATCCCAACTATTGTGTTAGTTTTATCTAAATGTGTAAAACGACAATTCTGTTTAAGATCTACGTGAACTTGTTTAAAAAGCATATCCTGAGCTAAAATTATAACTTTACAATAATTAAAAATCACATAACAATTGACTAACATTTTGCATTACACTGAATAAACATTTAAACGATATATTAAAAATTTACAATGCAGTATTTTAAATACTATTTTAACATTAATCTCTTATTCTAACTAGCGTGCTAATTCACAAGTATTATCACCATGATGAACTAGTGTTAATAAATACGCCACTTATTGTCATTAATTTAAGTATTGATTTATTGATAATAACAAGTTTTTCAAACTTCTCGGTAAAATCAATTGCTCATCGATTCTCTAACTTTGTTGGGAAAGTCTGGCAAATATATAAACGCCTATTTTTAAGCACTATGTAAAACACTGATAACATTTGGAAACACATGGTATAAAAGCGACAATTTTCTGGAAAAGCAACATTAATCTTACCGAAACCACATATAAATTATATGCATTTGTATATAACTAAGTAAATATAATTAATAATTTGTGTTGTAATCTTGATAAAAATTAGTATTAATTCCAAAATCCACATTGATGTGCTGGGAATGAATCCAAAAAACAAACCTGGATGAATTAAACAAACCTGTGCTCATTTATAAAAACGGATAATTAATCAACAAATGAGATAACTGTGCGAACCGTAAGCGCCCGGAGTTTTACAACAAAACTATAAAAAGTTGTCGCAAAACAAAATCTGTTAAAATCTTATTGTAATCCATATTGTAATACATATTGCAATCCTAAAGACATTATAAAAACAATGTATAGCCAGTGGCTAACACTACTCCTATGGGTCGGGATCGCTATCATCGGACTTCAGGCCAGTCCTAACAGCGACCCGCACTTCGTGGCCGACCGGTCGGTGATCGTACACCTGATGGAGTGGACGTACGCAGAGGTGGCCACAGAATGCGAACAATTTCTCGGCCCTCACGGCTTTGGCGGTGTCCAACTGTCGCCAGTGCACGAGTGCGCTGTCATCGATCGTAGGCCGTGGTGGGAACGCTACCAACCCGTCAGCTATAAGATTGACTGCCGGTCGGGCAATGAGACCAGCTTTGCCGATATGACCCGCCGGTGCAACAAAGCCGGTGTCCGTATATATGTCGATGTGGTGCTCAACCATATGACGGGCGTTCAGTCGGGTATGTAAATCAATGCATAGATTTTGTTAATTATTGATTTATATTAATTAAAAATTATTATTTATTATTAAAACAATTTATTTAAAATTTGCTCGAAATAGAGTGACCAATAGTTTCAAATGTTATTAACTTTACATTTTCATAGTTATATTGAAAATTAATAAGTAAAATATGGGTAACTTTTAGACACTTTATTTCAAACAAGTTTTTATTTCAAAAGTTTTAATTTATATAAAAACTATAACACAAACCCATAGGTAAGGGAACGGCGGGCGACCCGTACGACGGGGTCGGCGAGAACTACTCGGCCGCTGGGTTCACATCAGCCGACTTTCACGGCAAAGACGTGTGCCATACGGCGGACCTCAACATTAAGGACTACGACGACCCACAACAGGCCCGCAACTGCCAGTTGGGCGGACTCCGGGACCTGAATCAGGGCCGCGAGAACGTGCGCAAAGCCCAGGCTCAGTTTCTAAACAAACTGATCAAGCACGGTGTGGCCGGTTTCCGGTCGGACGCCAGCAAACACCAGTGGCCCGAAGATTTGAAAAACATTATCTCACGCCTGGATCCGCTCAACACCGAGTACTTCCCGGCCAACGCCAAGCCCTTTATATACCACGAGTACATTTCCGGCACCCGTATCAAAGCCCAGGAGTACACACCGTTGGGTCGGGTCATCGAGTTTAAGGCGTTTGACAACTTGGGTCACGTGTTTCGCAAGAAAGACAACCAAAAGTTGGCGTATTTTAAGAACTGGGGGGTTGGGTGGGGAATGTTGCCCTCAGACGATGCCCTGATTATGGTAGACAGTCATGACTTACAACGCGGTCAGTCGGGCAACCTCGCCATCACTATCACTTACTTTGAGCCCCGGCTGTTGAAGATGGCCACCGCCTTCATGTTGGCCCAGCCCTACGCCGTCACCCGTGTTATGTCCAGCTATTACTGGCCCCGCACTATACAAGGCGGCCACGATATCAACGATTGGATGGGTCCGCCGCACGACTCGGCCTTCAATATAGCGCCCGTCAAACGTATGCCAGACCTGAGCTGTAACGCCAGTGAATGGATTTGTGAGCACAGGTGGCGCCAGATATACAATATGGTTGGCTTCAGGAACGCCGCCGGAGCCGAACCCGTGGCCAACTGGTGGGACAATGGGAACAATTCGGTGGCTTTTGGTCGCGGAAACAAGGCTTTCATTGCCATCAACAATGATGTTCAGCCCATCGATGCTAAGCTCAAGACAGGACTCCCGGCCGGCAATTATTGCGATATAATCTAGTCGTTTAATAAACATATTAAATATATTAAACTTTGTTAATTAATATACATATATATTTAGTAAAATTATAT